GAAGAAAATCGCATTTACTTTTATTTAAAAAATACATCTGTCTCAGTTAAAAGTACACAAAAATTACGTTCAAGGACTAGACTCAGTAACGCAAATAAAAAGAAAAGAAGTTATTGGTTTTGTGTGCAAAAGTACAAGAATTATGAGGAATACTTATCCACACCTTTCTGAAATTGAAATTTGAAACTGTATATGTTTAACCCATCTCGCAACACTGTAAGGGCATTTAAGAGGTGGACCCACATCTTTTTCTTAACTATTTAAATGTAGTGTATCATTGCTATCAGTGGAAAAATGAGTAACTATGAAGTTTTTACTCACCCTGTCCAGCAGGGTTAAATGGAATTACTCATTTTTCTTATAACAGCAGCGATATAGAACAAAATCCTTAACGTGATTACCTCATGACCTCAGCAAAACTCATTGCTTCATCAATACCGGGGAAAGCACCAAGCAGCTCCTGTATCATTCCTCGCCCCATAGACATCATGTCAGCTGAAAACACGCAATACAATGCGAGGGGTACTCTTACTTTAAGCCAAGAGGAGGACACATTATGAGTATATCAAATAAATATATATTCACAACTGAATTCAACAAGGACATGCTTTATGAAAGTAAAAGATGTTACGTAAGTGAATAGAACATTTATTTTCCCAAAATCTCCTTGATCAAGGGATCAAAGTGTTGTAACTTATTGTAAGGTAGGCCTACAATATCGCTACACTAACTGTCTAGTTTAAAAGGGCGTATTAGAAAAGAATATATCACATGCATACTAAAATATTGAAAAAAAAACCCCCAATACAACGTGACAAAATTATACACTCGAACTTAGTTCTGAATATTCCCACTTTAAAGGTAAAACAACAACAACCAAAAAGACACATGATATTTGTACCACAAACATTGTTTTAAAGAAAGTCAAACATAAACAGCAGAACTTCAATCTTGAAGGAACAGAAATCACACCACAGCAAACAGCAAAGGACTCAAGAAATTCTAGAGATGCATCATGAGCAACACAAACCTTGCTCATAGTACTCGTCTGGGAGCTCAGAGAATCCCAAATTTGGATCAATTTCCTGAAAAACAATGAAAAGGTCTTGTTAAATTAATATTTCCATAGCCTTTCAAGCATACTCTCTAAATGATGATCACATACCCGGCTCACTATCATCAAATCAGGTCAGTATGGTGGTGGTGGTGGTGGTTGGGGGGTGGGGTGGGGTGTCTAAACTTCATTAAAAGCTGCAAGGCAAAAAGTTGGGATTCTTCCTCAGGCCAGCCTGAGCCTTTTAACTCCTCAAATACCTAATTTTAACACACCCCCAAAGTAAACTTGAACCAGGGTCATCCACACTAGAGCCCACCATGATCAATGGGGATTATAATCTGGTTTTGGCCCCAACTAAACTACCCTACTATC